TTCCGGCCAACTGTGTCTTCTCCCCTACCATGTCCCAGCCAACTGTGCCTTTCTCCTAAAACGTCCTGGTCAACTGCCGTGTCTTCTCCCCTACCACGTCCCGGCCAACCGTGTCTTCTCCCCTACCACGTCCCGGCCAACCGTGTCTTCTCCCCTACCGCGTCCTGGCCAACCGTATCTTCTCTCCTACCACGTCCCAGCCAACCATGTCTTTCCCCTACCGCGTTCCAGCCAACCGTGTCTTCTCTCCTACCACGTCCCGGCCAACCGTGTCTTTCCCCTACCGTGTTCCAGCCAACTGTGTCTTTGTGCACTGGGGATGTGTTCCATCAGTAGTGCCCTTCCTAGAGCATATTGTCATTACACAGTGGCTCTTCAGTAGCTTGGTCTTTGGATACAACTAATTTTGGGAAGCACCTGTACTTTGTCCTGCCGGAACTGACCGAGAGAATAGTTTTTCATTTTGCAAAGTGCTTTGCCTTAAAAACGTTCCTTTTGTGTGTGTGCGTGAGTGTGGCATCTGGCTTACCATCTCCCTCTGAGCCCCTTGTCTTCCCAGTGACGTATCATGTCCCTTGTGCTTTGCTCAGTCCAGGGGGGCTCGTGATCACCGTTCATTCACCCTCAGATTCCACTGGGATTTGGGCTCAGAGAGAACAGCCCCAACAGGCTCCTGAACCGGCCCCTCACGGGGCAGTTGATGGGATTGGAGAGCACTTACAAGGATCGTTTAAGGACCACAAAGGTGATGGACAGAGCTGGGCATCATCGAAAAGCCACGAGGGCGGTGGACAGAGCTCAGGGCCCAAAGCAAAGAAAAAGCCCCAAACTGCTTGCTGTCCCTTCTTTCCAGTCAATAGGTCGGCAGTTCCGAGGGTCTAGGGGGTCCAGGGTGCACGTTGCAAGTCTTCTGGTGAAAGTCAGACACGGGAACGCACAGGTGAACGGGAATTTAGAGGACAGCAGTTCTGGGCTTGGCTTTGATGTTTTTGGGGAAAAATGGATGTCGGTGTCTGTGTTTTGATCACTGTCCCTGCAGACCGCAGTGGCCCCAGAGACTTCCACGTGCTGGCTCCACTAGCCCCTGTGTTCGGGGCCCAGATGGAAACAACAGAGGAATAGGGGTCAGCAGAGGGGTGGCTGGTCACTGAGGGTCTCACAGGCCCACCAGAGCCTCAGTAATTATGTCAGCTGAACGCAGGCACACACGTGTCCCCCTAGCCTCGGGTCTGCCCCAGCTGTGGGAGTCATAACCCAGGCTCCCGGTGGCTCCCAGAGCCTCCGTTTTTCTTCGGTACGGTGTTGGTGGGTGTCATCAACTCCGCCCCATATGACCTGGTGTGACAGACAGAACTGCCCCACAGGGTTTCCTGGGCTGGGACCTTTATGGGAGCAGATGGCCAGGCCCTTCTGTGGAGCCGCTGCGTGGGTTTGAACCACCAACCTTCAGGTAGCTGCCAAGCACTGAACCCCGTGCTGCCATGTCCCCCTCGCCTGTCCCCCCGATGTCTAGCCTTCCTCACTCTCAGGGGACCAGCGCTGAAACCACAATGCTCTCCAGCAGCCCCCTACAACCACCCCATCTGTCTGCCCCCTACAACCACCCCATCTGTTTGTCCCCTACAGACTGGGAGTTCGCAGAATCTTAAGGACGGTTCTGAGTTGGTTCTGGTGTCTGGCTTGACTTAAAAGCACTAACAGTTTTATTTTCAGGATCACAGTAAGAGGTCCTAGACAGAGTGGGAGAAAGATGTGGAATAAAACTCATCATCATTAAGGACACCAGGCTCAGTGGTCTGATAGAGACTGGTGGAACCCCTCAGACCAGGGCCCTTAGTCACCCCCATGACTCGACTTTTAGCCAAATACCAGACAGGTCCACAAGGTGAACAATAACACCAGGGAGGCATGGACTCCTGAGAAAAACCAATCCTGTGAGACCAAAAGGCAGCATGTGCCCAGGGAGGAGGCTCTGAAGGAGAGGGGACAGGAAGCAGGGACGAGGGGAAACAGGCAACCAGAGAGGAAGCGGGAAGAGACCCGTCACACTGAGGGACTGCAGTCAACGTCACACAACAAAATGTGTCTGAACCATTGAATGGAAAACCAATTTACCCTGTAAACTTTCACCCACATCACAACAGAAAGTTAAAAGGATAAGAAACGAGGGCACTGTTAGGCTACAGCGTGACCTGTCAACAGAATACACACACTGTCACCATCATTCAATCAAGTGTCTGTGAGACAAGGCTCAGGGTGGTGACGTATTTGGGACCTTTCATCATTTTTGTCAAACTGAGTGGTGTGAGAACACTGGCAGGCTGGCATCACTTTTGCTAGGCCACGTGCAGAAAGGATGGGGTGAGCTCAGGGCCCCAGACCCCAGCTCAGGTGCCACCTGCAAGACCCTGACGTGGCTACCTGTGCCCTGAAAGAAAGCCTCACTTCTTATCTCGAGGCACTGATGTAAGATATACCCTACACTAACACTACCACATAACACACCAAAGGAAAGCCATTCCTAAAGGGATGATAACCACAGGGACAGGAGTCAGGATTTAGTTATAGCTATGTCACCTCCACCTGGTTCACAGATCTGGAATGAGCCAGTGACTGCCTACCATGTTCTAGCCAACCGCGTCTTCTCCCCTACCGCGTTCCAGCTGACTGCGTCTTCTCCCCTACTATGTTCTGGCCAACTGTGTCTTTCCCTTACCAC